GTGTCCGATTTTTGTTTTAAGTTGTATAGCCAAATATATTTTGAATAGTGATCAACAAAAATCAGATAATACTTAAAATTGTCATGGGAGTAAACAGGAGACGTCCACAAATCAGTGTAAACATATTCTAGAGGAGCATTAGAAGTAATAGAGCTAGTAGAGAAAGGAAGTTTGTGACTTTTATTGCAGGCGCAGGAATTACAATCTAAAGTAGAGATGCTAGGTACACTTAATTTATTTGTAGAAATTAGAAGCTTAAAAATATTCCTAGAAGGATGACCTAAACGGTGATACCAAGCAATAGAGGAAGAGGTGCTCGTGTAGACCGAAGGAGAGAACAGGTGAAGCTCATAAATGTCGTGATTAGACGTCCCTTGAAACAACACTTTTGTCGTTGAAAGGTCCTTCAAGAAGAAAGAGTTAGTAGAAAGAGTTAGTAGAAAAAGAGACAGAGATGTTATTATCAAGACAAAGTTGAGAGATAGAGATGATATTTTTAGTCATGGATGGAACAACTAAAACGTTTGTAAGCTTAAGAGAAGAGATAAAGCAAGAACCAATGTGAGTTATAGGAAGACCCTTACCATCACCAACGATTAGTTCCTCGGTTCCATCATAGTGTGCATGAAGAGATAAATTGTTTAAGTCATTGGTGACATGGTGGGATGCTCCGTTATCTAATAACCAAGGGGTAGAGGAAGATGAAGCATGAGAAAGCTGAGTGGCGTTGACTTGTGGTTTAGAGAAGGAACGGGTTGGCTGGGCAGTGATGTGGCGTGGAGGGGGAGGGGATGCAGTAGGAAATTGTTGGGTGAAGAGGGGACAATGAACCACAACATGGCCTTGTTCACGGCACCATTGGCATTTGTCAAGGAAAGGTCTAGGGGTTTTGGACGTGGTTGAATTTGGGGTAGGAAGTATGCTTGGGTGGACTGGTTCGAAGAAGAACGTGTGTATGATTTAGTGGAGGCAGCGAATGCAGTGGTTGGGAGAGAGGGTTCAGCACGGGTTTGGTTTTGGTGAATTGAGAGTTCTTTATTGATGAGTTTTTCATGCAACTACTCAAAGGAGATGGGAGTGTCACGGGCATTAACCGAGTCCACAACAGACTTGTAAGAGTCGTCTAGACCAGAAAGAACCTTGTCTATAAAGTCCTCATCCTCTACCGGTTTACCGAGAACGGCAAGGTCATCAGTGCACTCTTTTAAGAGCCGCATGTAATCGGTGATAGAGAAAGTGCCTTTTCATTATGCGATTGAATTTGTCCTTCAATTGTTTAATATGGCCACGGGAGGGAAGAGCATAGGTTTTGTGAAGTTTGTCCCATAGTTGGGCAGAGGTTTTTGCCTGGGAGATGAGAGGAACGAGGTTAGGGGATATGGAATCGATGAGGGCACCAAATAGAAGACGATCTTGACGAGTCCAATATATGTACTCGGGGTTTGGGAGTTCGGCCTCATCGGTAACAATGGTGGGAGAAGGACAAGGTAGGCTGTCGTCAACATAGTGAAATAGGTCGTGGCCTACTAGAAGTGTTTCAACTTGAAGCCTCCAGGAGAGATAGTTTTGCGGGGTTAGTTTGAGTGCATTATGCATGTTGATGACGATGAAAGGTTTGGAAGGAGTGGTTGCATTGTATAGTTTGGAAGAAGAGTTGGTATGAGTGATAGACATGGTGAATGGTTGAAGAAGAAAGGCGAAGAGATGTATAGATCAAAAAGCAATCTGATACCATATAAAGGAATATTGTTGTTATTGTTTCTTGATTTATTTTCATAAAGATGTACATCAGAATATATATAGTTGTACATGAGTATATATGATAAGTACAAAATATAAAAACCTATAAAGATAAGAATGTAAAACAACATTGAACAAGTAAGCTCCTAATATTATGGGAATGTTGTTGAGTTGATGACCATGGGCAGTATGTGTGGATAGACTTCATTCCCCAACATTCCAGTCCAATTGAGTGCAAGATGGAGTCGGACCAGTTATTGTGTCATCCAAGAAATCAAATTTCGACGTGCCTCCAACGCCATATGTATGTCGGCACCCAATCATCATAATTATCCCCCTTAAGAGTTAAGACGAGTCAGGGTTATGAAATCACCTGGTCGGTCTTGCGATCCTAGGTAAAACAGCGAATTTGGTTCTATGTCCATGACTCCCAGTCCACGCAAGCAGATGCACAGCATATGGGTTGTGCAGTGGCTTTCGCGACAAAATTCCTTCGATAAAATTGAGAGATTATGTGACCCACACAGTGTTAACAAAAAGTCCATCTCCATCAACGTCTACTCCGTCTCCATAATGATCCTCAGGTACTCCCTACCCTATAGCACACTATATTAATGTGACATTTTTTCTACAAATTATCGTAACTTTTTGGCAGCAATTATTTCGGGAGAAGATCCGAAATCATTTAGAGAAGCAATGAAGCATGAGAGGTGGAGGGAGTCAATGCAAGAAGAAATAAGAGCGTTAGAAGACAATGAGACGTGGACTTTAGAAGAATTGCCTCCCGGTAAACGTGCTCTTGGTAGTCAGTGGGTTTACAAAACCAAATATCTCTCAAATGGGGATATTGACCGTCTTAAGTCAAGATTAGTGGTGTTCGACAATCATCAAACGCCGGGCATTGACTATTTTTTATTTTTTATTTTTCTGATGAGAGAAGCTATGTTTTATTCTAACATATTATAACAACCGTAATAATAATAACAATCATAAAACCCATGGGAATAACTATTATGTAATAAGGTAAAACATTTAACTATTATTCTTCAACATGTAATGGATAGTGTTAGGGTTGGTGAGTGTACAATGGAAGTGAAGATGTGTTTGATTGAGAAGTATAAATTGAATTGATAATTTGGCAAGATAATTAATATAAATAAACACACGATTTTATGTAACAACGAGCGCTTTTATTCCACTATTTGAAAGTAGGAGAGTACAGGAACTCTTGAGAGGGTGAATATTACAAGAGAACTCTCACTATAAGAAGTACTCACAAAGGAGTATTACGATAGTAGTGGAATATTTCAAGGAGGGAGAATATTTTTGTAGAAAGGCTTGTATTTGGTATGACTTCTTGTGTTGTGTTGTTTTTTTTTTATTTTATTAAATGCCCTTGACCTGTATTTATAGGTGAGGATGGAGGTTTCTAGATTCTTATGGGAATTTCCCATAATTATGGCTCATTTCTAGTGGCTTCCACTTTTAATTATTCTCTGGAATATTCTAGGAAATATTAAGGTTGTAGATAACTCTTGATTTTTCAAGAAGCTTCTAGATTATACTCCATCTATATATAATGGGCTTATAAAATTTGGGCCATACCCAACAAATAGTTTATCTATTTTTGTTTTCAAATTTGTTATTTATTTAATTCTCAAACCTAATCTTTATATAAAAAAAATGATAATAAAAAATCCATGTGATGCCAGATTTTCTCTATCGTGTTCGAATTATAAGTTATTTCCTTTTTATTGTAATATACATTATTTTTTATAAAATTATTCATAGACCAATGAAATATGACCTTACATTATCACCGAGTATATAAATTAAATGTTAGAATTTTATCCTTTTAAATTTGTTTAAATTGAGTGTGCAATTATTATTATAGTATATTTACCTCATAATTATTAATTAGTGATCTAATATTAGTAGTCCACAATAAATTAATGTGAAATAGGTTTATTTAATATTTTAAATTATAAGTTAGGGATGTGAAAGTCGGAAAATTTTGCAGTATTTTATTTATGTTTTTAAAATAAGCCAAAAGTATAAATCAATTTTATCTTAATTAATTGTGGAAACTTTTACTCTAAGTTTTTGTGTGTTAATTAGTTTTATTTTATGAATTGTAACATATATTATTTAAAATATTTGGTTTGAATTACATAGTAAACTCTATTTACATGAATTTTTTTTGTATCAATTTTTTATTTTTTTCAAATGAACAAAACTGGGAACAAATTTGTTTCTAGTTAATTTTTTGTTTTTAGCAACGCATTTAGTGACGGTCATTGAAATACTAACATTAATAGTTAAATCTTTAATTTTAAGACAAGATTGATGATCAAACTGTTATTTATATCTCCCAAATTGAATTTTTAATTTATTGAATATAGGGCCTATTTGTCAAATATCATGCTAAATTGAATAAATACAATAGCTTAATTCTCATTGATGGCTTCAATCACCCATATATAATACAAGCTTAACCTAATATGATAAAATTAGGAAACTAATCAAAGATAACCCAAAAGATATTCTAGCCATAAAATATGGTCACAAAATATATCCTCAATACTATTTTGTAACAGTGTCGTATAAGCATTACGTCATCATCACGTACTCTGATCTCTTCATTTATATTTTTATAAAAGACATATAGTAAGAACTCATACAAACTCGTTCAATTAGGTATTACATCAGAAAAAATTCCTCATGTACATCCAACGTTTTACTTATGTTCATCCAAATTTTCTTAACTAAATGTGTGTAATATTGGCTAAATTTGTTCTATGTTTTTCACATTATTAAATTACAATTAGCTAGCTGGCTAGTTTGTGCAACTTAATGATACTCCTATATATGACTGTTTCAGTTTAAGTATATACATAATTAAGTATTAAATGGAGATAATGCACGCATGAATTATATACGCAATAAACAAATATTTCCCGATTTATATTATTACAATCCCCTTAATTAATCTCCTTAATCTGAATTTACTCATGTTGTTAAATTAAGATCAAGAATTGCGTGGAAATAAATACAGAAATATATACTCCGAAAAACAAATTGCCAAACATAATCTATCTAAAATATCAAGACAGGCCAATATAAAAATATTTAATAATTAAAACAACTAATTAAAAAGAATAGTTCTTGGGGTACAGTATAACACTAAATCATTACAAACTTTTGAGCGGAAGCAATCTCGTCGTCTCATATACTTAAGTTGTGTTCGATTCAAAATGTTTTCAATAATCAGCAATTTGCGTTGGTAATTCAAACCGGCAAAGAGGGCAAAGATGATTAGTATGAAGCCATTCAACGATACAATCCTCGTGAAATTCGTGTTTACACGGCATTGTTACCTTCAACGCTCCCTCTTTCTTGTTACCATAAAGTTGTTCAAGGCAGATAGCACAAGTAGTACAGTCGTTATTCTTGATGATTGACCTCGCTAACGCCTCGATCGACACCTTGCTTGCCGGAGTATGCTTGACCTCCGCCTCCTCGAAAGACTCCCTCTCCACCCACGCCCTCAACACCTCATCATCATCATTATCGCAAACACGATCAGTAAAACTAGGTATGCTCCATAAATACCGATGATTACGAGCATAGTCTAATTCTGTATAGAGTTTTATCCTGTTTAAAACATCATTAGCTAGTCTTTCCAAAAAAGCAATGGAAAACTCATCACAGTGGCCCAAAGACTTGATGAAGTTGATGTTATCTGATTGACAATGAGGGCAAAGAGGGTTAAAGGGTTCCGTTACTATGGTTTCGACGAGGCGGTACGGTGTGATTGGTACGACGGAGAGTTGGCCGATGTCGTCGACATGATAAGTGACCAATCTTTCATACTTTTGAAGTTGAAATTTACATTCAATCTTCATACGATGACGAAGGGAAGATAATGGAAGCAAGCTTCTGATTTGTTGGTGGGAACAAGGATAGTGAGGAAGTTGAAAAGTAGTCATTATTATTGAACTCGAACTCTTTTTTTTTTTTTTTTTTAAATAAAAAATTGATTGAAAGCTTCATTTAAAAGCAGTTTATGTTTGGCTTAGAGAGGAGAGGACGCTTACTTATATAGAAAAGTAGTAATAGCGTAAGGTTAGCGAAAGCTACACGTTTGGATTTTATAAAAATAAAATTGTGTTAGTTGATTTATCCGTATGAGATATTTAATAACATAAATAACTTGCTTTGTTTTTAGATTGAATAAAATAGCTATGTTATGTTGTAAATCCCAATGAAATACGGAGTATTTACAAAAATAAATAAATTTATTTGTTTGTATATCAAATTTAAAAGCTATGTAATAATAATAATAATAATAATAATAATAATAATAATAATAATAATAATAATAATAATAATAATAATAATAATAATAATTTTATGGTCATTATTATACTGCTGTGACAACTATTATATATTTCCTCTATTTTTTTTATATTTGTTAGGTTTTATTTATCACGCTTGTCAATGCATAATTAAATTATCAATAACTTTAATTTTCTATAAGTAATAAAAGTCATATCTTATGATAGTATTTATTGATTCGATTCTAACAAGATCTTACACGAATATATTTTTCCTTAAAAATAATTCACAAAAGATGGTCAAAAAATGGGTGGTGAATAGTGTAAACGTTAAAGCGGGTCAAGTAAAAAATAAACGGAGAAAGTATAACTTTGTATTGATTATCTAATACTTACGGAGTACTAATAAACATGAAGGACTTATGTTATGAGTATGAGATTGATCTCAAAAGTTGTTCATCTCAGGCCAAATAATTACTCTCCATGTTCCTATTTTTTTTCTGTCTAATTTGATATTTTACGATCTCTAAGACGCGTCTTAAAATGTATATAATTCTTATTTTCATACTTATAAAATTATAAAAAAAAAATTGATATTAATAAAATATACTCCGTTGTTACAATGAGATGAATTTAACAAGACCCTACATTGCCACATGACTATATTAACTATTTTTGATTAATGTGAGTTTCTAATCATAGTTTTATAAATTTGACCTATTTATTTGTTATAGGGCAAAAAAATAAAGACAGACAAACTACTGACAAAGGAAGAACTATATAAACAAGTTCAAAATAAAAATCATAGGATAATTTGCAAACTAAACTTGTGAGCGTGGAGTACATATGAATAATATAGTTACTTATAGTCTTATATTTACATTGATAAAATTGCTCTTTTAAAAAAAAGTAAAAATGTAATCTAAGTATATATTATTATCTGTTTGGCTTTTGATTAATGAATTGATTTGTTTCAAAATAAATTAATAAATCTATATTTATTTCAATATAAAACTCAAAAAATGCTTCTGTTAAGCTTGCTGGAAAATTGCGACCCTCCAAAATCTCCATAATAGCTTTCGTGACACTGGGCTGCACTATCTCCCAAAATTTTTGATACTCTAATACTCTGTTTACCCTATCCAATATCTATATATACTCTATTTACATTAAATATCTTCAGGCATATTTGTCAAATTAATGTGTTGACTTATCCCTATCAGGCTATTAGATATTTGTAAAACATAAATAATTTAAGTTGATATTTTTTTTTTTTTGATTAATTAGGTAAATCAGTTAACTATTAATTATTCAACATGTAATGAATTGTTTATCTATCTTTGTTTTCAAAAATTTTTGAATTTGTTATTTTTTTAATTCTCAAGACCTACCTTTTTTTTTTTTTTTTTAAAAAAAAAATAAAAAATAAAAAATCCATGTAATGTCAGCGTTTCTCTATCGGGTTCACATTATAAATTATTTCCTTTTTATTGTAATACATCTATTATTTATAAAACTATTCATCAACTAATTAAATATGACCTTATATTATTACGAGTACTAAAAAAGAGTATTTCTATTAAATAATGTTATTACATTATCATTTTAATTTTTGAATAAATTGCGTGTACAATGATATTATACTATATTGATGTAAACTTATCCATGATTATTAGTAACTCAAATATTAGTGATTCACAATAAATTAATATGAACCGCACCTATTTAAGAGTTTAAATTATACGTTAGGGGATGTGAAAGTTGGGAAAAAAAAAAATTTATTTATGTTTTACATAGCCAAAATGATAAATCAACATTATCTTAATTAATTATGGAATCTTTTATTCTATGTCATCTACCCTATTCATTTATCTAAGCAACATACAGACTCCGTAACTAAGTTTTTGTTTTAAAAAAATTTGATTATGTTTAGAATTTTAGATTATACTTCGGTATTTGTAATGAGTTAAGTCTCTCAAAAGTTTGGATTATAGTCAGGACGTTGTTGGGACATACGTGCTTATACTGATCGTGTTTGCGCTAATGCTTATAATCTAGTTTTATTTAATTTTATGTATAACTTTGTGATCATTATATTACTAACAAATCACCATTGTACTTGTGACTTTTAGTCCATAATAATTTTGTGACGAATGAACATTATCCATTTTCCGTAAAATTCATGTACTCTAATTTCACCATTTATTTTTTGTAAAAGAAAATATCCAATGAGAGTGATAATGCACGCATGAATCATACACGCAATTAACAAATGTTTGCCGATTTATATTATTACAACCCACTTAATAAATCCCCTGAATATGTGATTTACTCGTGTAAAGATCAAATTTTGTAAAGGATAGACCAAGATCAAGATATAATTGCGTCCAAATTAATACAGAATTTATACTGCGAAGAATAAATTGCCAAACATCTATCTAAAATAACAAGACAGGTCAATATGAATATATTTAACTAAAATAATGAAGTACAAAGAAAAGGTCACTGTGTTTAATTCTTAACTACGTTTTTCAATAATCAGCCATTGAAGTTGGTAATTCAAAACGATTAAGAGGGCAAAAATGACTAGTATGAAGCCATTCAACGATACAACCCTCATGAAACTCGTGTTTACATGGCATTGTTACCTTCAACGCTCCCTCTTTCTTGTTATCTTACAGTTCTTCGAGACATACAGCACAATTTGCACACTCGTAATTCTTGATGATCGACCTCGCTAACGCCTCGATTGACACCTTGTTTGCCGGAGTAGGCTTGACCTCCTCATCCTCGAACGACTCTAACTCCACCCACGCCCTTAACTGCTCATCATCTTCGCAAACACAATCAATATAAACAGGCACGTCCCATACATACCAATAATCCCGATTATAATCGAATTCTTTGGAGAGACTTAATTGATAATAAACATAACTTTTAATATCTTGCAAATATTTGACGGCACTTTCGTCACTGTGACGCAAAGACTTAATTAAGTTAGACATTATCATTGTGGCAACGAGCACAAAAGGGGTTAAAGGGATCCAATACGGTGCTATTGCCGGTGGGACGGTATGGTGTGATTGGTACGACGGAGAGTTGGCCGACGTCGTCGGCTTGGTAAGTAACCAATCTTTCAAACTCTTGGAGCTTCAATTTGCATTCAATCTTGACAGGATCACAAGGATAGGATAATGGAAGTGAGCTTCGAAATTGTTGGTGGGAGCAAGGAATTTGAGGAAACCTAAATGTCGTCATTATAATTATGGTAACAGATCGAAGAAAAATTAGAGCTTTTTTAAAAAAAAAATTGATTGAATTAGCTAGAAAGATAGGACGCTTACTTACATAGAAAAAAAGGAATAGGGTAAGGTTAGCGTAAGCTCCACGTTAGTTGTTTATCCGTGTGAGATATTTAAAAACATAAATAAATTGATTTGCTTTCAATTTAAATTAAAAAGCTATGTTATATTGTAATAATAAGTAAATAAACTTATTTGTTTTCAATTTTAATTAAAAAGCTATCTTAAAACAATGTCGGTGAAGCATTTGTTAGTTTGTCTAGTTAGAGGATATATGGAAATTGGGATAAATTTATTTATTTATGTTTTTTTAATAGCCAAAAGGATAAATAAATATTATCTTAAATATGGAAACTTAGGCTATGTAATTTAATAGTCATGTTTACCACTTTACCCTATTCAATATCTATATAAACCCCATCCCCTCTCTAAGCATTATACATACTCCGTAACAAATTTTTCAATCAAATAAAATAAAGTAATGACTAAATTTCAATTACTTCAATTTCCTTGTTCCCACAAACAAATTAAATGCTCGCTCCCATCATCCTTTCCTCATTATCGTGTCAAGATTGAATGTAAATTGAACTTTCAAGAGTTTGAAAGATTGGTTACTTATCGTATCGACGACATTGGCCAACTCTCCGGCGTACCAATCACACCTTACCGTCTCTCCAACAGCACCGCAACAGATTCCTTTAGCCCTTTTTGTGCGTATTGCCACTCTAATTTTGTTGACTTAATGAAGTCTTTTGGGCATTGTGATGAAAGTTCCGATAAATTGTGGCAAGAAGTAAAAGATTATGTTTGTAATGAGTTAAGTAGTCTTCTCTCTAAAGAAATGGATTATAGTAAGGAACATTGGTGGGATATACCAGCTTATACTGATCATGTTTGCGATAATACTGAGGTCTTAAGGGCGTGGATGGAGTCGTTCGAGGAGGAGGTGACGCGGCCTACTCCGGCAAGCAAGGTTGATGATTCAACATGTTAAGAATCAAATTAAACACAACATATGTTACGAGATTGAATGATCTCAACTTCTCAAAAGTTGTTCATGTTAGTTTATTTCATTGTTTTTATTACTCTTACTTTTATTTTAGTTTAATATGGTTTGTAATTTGGAATCCTCATTCGCTAGGTTTATAGATTTTTAATTTGTTGTATTATTTTTTTTTTATTGAAAATGCTCTAGTAGTTATTTTGAAGGGAAACAAAAATTTTGAAGGGAGAAATTTAAATATCTTTAATAAAGACTTCTTTCTTTAATTTACATATTTTGCTATTTAGTCACTTTCGATCTTGATCTTTATCCTGATATAGATCTATCCTTACAAAGCTTGATCTTATGTGAGAAAGTAATTTCTAAATTTAATAAGTAAATGGATTGTAATAATCTTATTATTATCCCTTTTAACAATAGAAAAGGGTGGATTTTAATAATACAAAATTACAAATCTCGATTAATTGTGTAATTATGCGTGCAAGTCAAAGCACATAAGTTACTAATAAGTATAATGATAGAATATGATGAATATTCTAGATATTATTATGTATAGAAGGATATAGTTTTGTGAATAAATATGGAAATTTTCTAACGTGATTATGACTCATCATTTTTGTAATCCTATATATATGAATCAATAGAATACATTAAGGGTTTCATATTATCTAACATATAAGTTATAAGTTGCACGATAGCTACTTATTAGATAGAACAAATACAAATAAGTCATTGCATACATTTAAGAAATTTTTGGATGAACCGTGGATGTACCTAAGGAAATATTTTTTAGGCACTAGAGAGAGAGAGAGAAAAAAAAAAAAAAAAAAAAAAAAAATTGTACCCGTAAGTGATGTTCACTTATATTTGTGTACATTGGGACAATTTTAGACAATTTTTTTTATATCTTCCTTTGTGTAATTTCTCCGTTTTTTTAATATCGCATCACTTGCTTCTTAGAGAAGTTTTACAAATATTGCATCACTTCCATTTTAGAACAAAAAATATTTATGTTCACACTTCAAATACCCAGCATATCCTTACTTTTTCACACTTACTTTTTATTTTATCTTTACATTACATGGACAATTTTGTATTTTTACGTTTCTCTCTCTTACTTTTTTCCACTACCAAATTTTGCCTCCAAAACCCCTATGATGCAATAAAAAAAGAACGGAAGAAATATATCATATCAACGTAAATAAATAATTTGACAAGTATCACATTATATTATACGGAGTATTTGTCTTTTTTTTTTCTTTTTTTTTTACAATTATTAACTAGCTAAGTTTGTGCAACTTATACTCTATTTAAGAAAAATAAGTATACATGTACACTTAGTGTACAAATAGCATTTGTAAGCCACTAATATTATTACGCCAGCTAAGCAAATCCTATTAAATAGATGAGGGAAGCTGAAATTTTAAAAGGAAAAAGTAGGAGGGGTTTTTTTGGCTTTTTGGGAAATGGGAATCCCATCCCTTCTGCATTGAATACTTTTACCTCTGATCAACCTTTTTGCTTTTTTCTCTAAAACTACATTGTTAAACCTTGGTGTGGCTTTCATCTTCTTCTAATTAATAAAAATAAAAAATTGTATGGAGTACTCAAATAAATTTTCCATACTCTCCTCTTTAGCTTCCTCATGCAGCCATTATTTATGTGACCTTCAAGTTGTAGCAAAAATGGTAAAGCAACTTGATAATAATGAACGGGTATAAAGGTGGTTTACATCTGGGTGGTTGCTAATAAGGAGATAAACATGTAGCCAAGACTCGATCCAAGAGAGATGAGCACAGAATTGACATTTGGGACCAATATTCTGACTTGTTAGGATATTCTTGCTATTTGTGGAATCATTTATTCATTTATTTATTTATTTTGTAAGAATTGTTGAATATGAAATCAAAAAAAAAAATATTGTAATCTATTTAATCTCTTTTTTAAGAGTTAATTTTTTATTTAATGTGATAATAAAAATATAAAACTACTACAATACACTTTTATAGATAAAGCCTAAAGGGCATGTTCGGTTTACCTTCACATATTTTAATTGTCATAATTTAAGTTTGGATACGTTCAGATTAGATGGAATAAGAAAATTAAGTTCTAATAAAGGTTAATTAGAGATTCTCAAGTAAAAAAAATAAGGTTTAATCAAGAAGTTCGGTTATGTTCATATATTAGCGACAAGTCAAATAGATAGAACGAACTTACAAACTATGTAAACGTTTAATCAAGTATAATCGATTAAATAGAAAACAAAAAGATTACAATTCTTCTTAATAAAAAAAAAAAAAAAAAAAAAAAAAAAAAAAAAAAAAGCAGAGCATACATAAATCAAGTATAATTCATAATATACCATTAGAAATTAGAACCTAGGAATATGTTGACACTTGCGGGGTAATAAGTCTCATACATAATAAGATCGTATAAAAAACTCCATTGTATAATATATTTGAAAAAATCTTGTTAACGAGTATCCTAGGGCGTTAGATAACAATTTAAAATATATCTTGAAACATTATTATAATTAATTTGGAAATTCATACCAAAATCACGTATTAATTGGTGTATTCAATGTTTATTTTAATTTAATAGTTTCTATTTCTACTTATAGTCATTTTATCCAGCGCCTTTGAAATGTTCATTTGTATGTCTTATTAAAAATATAATTAATAAGAAATACATACATTAATTTGTTATTGTGAACGGTCATAATAACTCATGAAAAGCTGGAAAAAAAGTAGTAATAATGTGGATCTTTTACCAAAATGGCTAATTTTACAAAAGTATTTATCAAAACGGCTACTTGTTTGTAAATTTTAATTCCGTAACTAGCTAAAATGTTGACTTGGAAGAAAATTATTTATTTCCTGTTTTCCTTTGAACTAGTTTGGTTCACTTTTTAGGGTTTTTTTTTTTTTTTTTTTTGGTGTGTGTGTTTATTTTAATTTATTTTTTGGGGTTCTTTTAGTTGGAAAGTTTTAAAGCTATATGCATATATACGTAAAGTCGTTCATAAGAACCCTAATTTCAAAATAACAAAAAAAAAAAAAAAATGTCTTGATCGTATCACAAAAAATTCGAATTTGAAGTACGGAGTAGTATTGTTCTATCAACACAACCGCAAATTTATATGATGATAAGGGATTTTAAGGTATTGTTCATCTTTTTCATGTTCGCTTATTGTATGCTCTCTGCTAATATGGCTAACATTTGTTGATTGGAAGTTTGGAACAATTTTTTGAGTGATTTTTTTTTTTTTAATTTGTGTAACTTTATAAGAAAATTAAGAATTTTTGCAAATATATTATGATGAATGTTATTTCCCAAATTAATGGATATTTTAAACTATGGCTTTAAAATTTTCCCAAAAAAATACCAAAATAATAAAAAAAAATTTTAAAAACAAAATTTTAAATCAACGCAAAAATTAGGGAATGTGGGCAAACTAGAATTTAAAGGCCATATACTATGTACACAATTACTGGCCTTTAAATTTTCCAACTAAAAAAAAAAGCAAATTTTTTTAAAAAAACCCAAAACAAACAAAATAAAAAAAACTCAAAAAAGTGAACCTTTCGGGTTCAAAAGAAAATAAGAAATAAATTATTTCTTTCCAATTTAATAATTTAGCTAGTTTTGGAATTAAAATTTATAATAGCCGTTTTGGAAAATACTTTTGTTATATTAGCCA